TGCCCCAATTTACTTCTGGAACACTCTATTCACTAGGCGCTAATAGGTGGCTCCAGCATTCTTCAATCCAAAAGGCATGACCAGGTAGCAGTAAGTTCCCTGTTCAGTCACAAATGATGTCTTCTCTTGGTCCGCTGGGTCCATCCTGATCTGATTATAACCTGAGAAAGCATCCATGAAGCTAAAGAGCTCATGCCCAGCAATGGCATCCACGATCAAGTCGATTCAAGGTAAGGGAAAGCTATCCTTGGGGCATGCTTGATTGAGATAGGTGAAATCAATACAGAGCCGCCATTTCCCATTGGTTTTCTTGACCAGCACCACATTCGCCAACCAGGTAGGGTAGTCCACCTCTCTTATGGCTTTAGCGTGGAGGAGTTTACTAACGTCTTCGTTAATTGCCTTCTAGTGTTCTGGAGCAAAACTTCTTCGCTTCTATTTAACAGGTTTGCAAATGGGATTCATGTTTAGCTTGTGTGTGATGATTGAGGAGTCAATGCCTTCCATGTCCTCTTGCTTCCAAGCGAACACCCTCATGTTCTTCCTCAGGAACTGGGTGAATAAGTCTTTCATTTCTCTACTCAACTTAGATCCCATGTAAACAATATGTTCAGGCTCTTCATTAAGCTAGACTGGCTCTAGCTCTTCTAACAGCATGGGTCTAGTGTCCAACTCGTCTCTCATGTCAAGCTCATCTAGCTGGATATTTTCAACCTCTTTCTACTTTACCGAGGCCATGTAGCACTCCCTGACTATTCGCTGGTCTCCTCGGACCATTCCAACTCTATTTTCTATAGAAAATTTTACGACCAAGTGATATGCTGAGGGGATAACCTTCATTACGTTGAGGGATAGTCTCCCAAGTAGCATATTGTACGCAGAAAAGGCGTCAACCACCAGAAATTTCACATTGGTGGTGGCTTGACAAGGAGGGTCCCCCATAGTGAGCACAAGTTGGATGGATCCCATGGATAGCACCCTTTCCCCTGAGAATCCCATTAAGTGAGCACTTACTAGCTCAAGCTTCTCCCTTTCTATGCCCATTTCATCAAAGGCAGAGACGAATATGATATCGGCCGAGCTGCAATTGTCAATTAGAACTCAATGAACCGTTTGGTTAGCCATAATGGCCCTTACCACCAACGAGTCATCATGGGGATGCTGACAGCCTTCCAAATTTGAATCTGAAAAAGTGATGGTTGTGCTCAGCCGAGGTATTTTGGACACGGTGTGCACTTCCAGCGCTTCGCCAACTCTGATCCTGCGCATGTGTGCTTTCCTGGCTGTACTGGATTCTCCACCGCCAACAAATCCTCTAGATATCACTTTGATCTCTCTTAAGGGTTGCTGGTGTTGTGTAGGGGCTTGTTGCTGAGATGCCGGTGGTGGTGGAGCCCTGTTCTGGTTCTCATGGGCGACAAATCGTCATAACTGTCCCCTCTGGATCAAGAATTCGATCTCCTTCTTTAGCTGAATGCAATCGTCGATGTGGTGGCCATGATCCCTATGATACTTGCAATACTTCGTAGGGTCTCTTTTAGTTAGATCTGTCTTCATTCGTGGAGGCCACCTTAGGAATTTATCGTTCTGCACCTCGTATAGGATCTGAAACACTGTTGCAGTGAGAGGGGTATGTTGCTGAGGTGCATACCTCGGCTATAGTTCAGGCTACAGGGGTCCTAAGCGGTCCCTAACATTCCCCCTGCTTTTTGGGGATTGCTCTTTATCTCTTCTAGGAGATCTATCTCTCTTTAGAGATCTATTTTTTTCCCTCTCTCTCCTGGGACTGCGGTTCCTCATTTTCTCTTCCTTTCCCTTATCTCTATGTGCAGAAGAGCTCCCTACCTTAGAAAGAAGAGCTTCTTCGCCGTTTATATATTTCTCTACTTTGGCAAGCACCTCAAACATGCTTGCTTGTAGATTTTTTGATATGGAGAATATCAAATCTTTAGATTGCACCCCTAGACCAGTTATGAAAACAATGATGGCAAACTTTTCATCTGGGACATCCACCTTTAACGACTCCGAATTAAATCTTTGGACATAAGACCTGAGGTTTTCTTGAGGTCCCAGTTTCATATTCAAAAGTTGATATCTCAGCTTTCTATAGGTCCAAGCCCCTATGAAGTGTGATAAGAAGGAAATGGAAATTTCTTTGAAGGAAGAGATTGAGGCTAGGGAGAGCCTGTTAAACCACGCCAAAGCTAAACCCTTCAAAGTGATGGCAAAGGCTCGACAGCGTACGGGGTCCTGGTACCCATGTAACTCTATCTGGTTTTTATAAGCGTTGAGGTGGTCCATGGGATCCCTGATTCTATCAAATGACTCTATCTGTGGCATCCTGAACTTTGAGGGAGGGGAAAATGCAACACCCTAGGCGTGAATGGAGATTCAGTTTGCTGCACCAAGGCATCCATTGTAACTGGAGTTTTACTTCTAACCGCTTCCTTCATGTGGCTGAGCTCCTGTTGGATGCCCTTGAAGCATTGCTTCCAATATTGTTCCCTTCTCTCCGGCTGATAAGGGAATACATCATTCTTTTCACCTTCTTGGTTTTGACTCTATACTTCTTCATTGTGGTCATTCCTAGGGGATAGTTGGGGAACCTGCCCCAAGGTCTAGCTGTTCTCCCCTCCTTCGTTGTCTTCTCTGAGTGGATCAAGGTGTTGTTGATCCTTGTGGCGGCGACTGTTCTGACCTTCTTGGGCCAGACGTGCCTCCTATGGGTGCTGTAAGAGCTTCAAGAGCTCTTCGTTTTACTTTAACAAGAGTTGATTGATGAGGCGAAGGGCCTCCATCTCGTTATTCGTAGGGGGATTCCCCATGAGAGGATCAATCTCTGGGACGTTCTCGAGTTGTCTGCCATTGGTGGCTCCCTGTTGATCCTACATCTGAGGTGGGTTTGTTTGGCTTCTGCTCATGTTTCGTGTTGATATCATCAGTCACTGAGAGATCAGCTTATTTGTAACAGGAATAGTCGTTCCCACAGACGATGCCAAACTGATGGTACAGACTAATGTGGATGAACAAAGTGCGTGGGACCAAAGGTGAATCTAGACTATCAACTTCATAATGACATTGATGTAGTGTTTCTTAGGGGGTAGGAGAATTTGAACAGTAGGAATATAGTGATTCACCGGCTCTGAAACTCGGCTAATTCACTCTCTCATGGAGGCTCTTGCTCCTTTTTTTTTCTCTATTGATTACTCGAATGTAATACAGTACAATGCATGATCTAATTAGGGTTTTTCTAGGGTCCTCCCTTCTTGATGAGGCGTTACATAGTATTTATAAGACTGCTCCCTATTATGTGGGATTTCAACCGAGATCTTTACCAATTATTCATGGGATCCTACTTGATTTTAGGAGAGAATCTTGGTTGGTTGAGAGTTTCATGCATTGGACTCAATTTTCGCAGTCACCCAGTTGTTTCTTGGTCGGTTCTGCTACAATATCCCCAAGGGGAGCTCTACCCCTGATTCTTTGAGTTCTCCGTGTCTTTTCTGACCTCCTGACCTGACCTCATTTCCTGAGCTTACAGTTAAGGTTTGTTTGAGATATCATCAACTGCATTTATTTTCAATCACTTGACAAGTGGTGTGTAAAACTATTTTGTGCATCATTAAATTTAATCCCACCAACATTTAATTTCATTAAATTAATATTAAATTTCATGAGTTTTACATTTAATTTCATGAGATTAACATTAATTTTACCAATTTAATACCAAATTAAAATTTTAACTTCATCAACTTAATACCAAATTAATATTCAAGAGGTGAAATTTATGTTGTAGTAAGTGATGGTGAAGGATAAAATTTTTCCTAGCTTACAAATTGGAGGAACATGTTTTTGTGTGTCCCAATGTGTGCATGAGTGTGCGTGTGTTAGAGATATGAAGGAGTTAAAATTGAAGGACACGAAGGTTGTTTAGTATTAGGACTAGTTTTGTTTGACAAAAGAATAAGAGCGTGAAAAGGACAGAATTCTACCTAATTTGACCCATTGCCAACTTATTTTCTCAAAATTTGTAAATGACCCGTCATATTTCTTTTATTTGACATGATAAATTCACTCGTTCTTATAATAGCCCCCTCAACTAGAAATCTATCTTCATCCCTGATCAGGACTCTAAAATCAAGTTGGGTGAGCAATTTCTGCTCATTTTAATCCAAAATAGAGTGCAAAAAGAAGAAGAAGACAATTTAGGTCAAAAGCCTATTGTTAAAAGAAAATGAGTGATTTGTGACATATAGATCAACTAACGACCTTGATTGTTTGAATATGTTGTGGGTGAAAACGTTTCTCAATTTGTAAGCTTATGAATATCCATCCAAAATTTTCATAAATACTATGATGTGTGCTGTCGTGATTGTGGTGTACGAGGGTTTTATCCCACTATGTGAAATAATCAATGGGTTTTTTTTGACTAATCTTTATAGTACATGTTACCTGCTAAGTATAGTCTTCGAGTGAAATGTTAATGGGCTTCGAACAGGCACTCCGCAGCATGGTCATAAAAATGTATAAAACATATTAGGCGCAACAAATTGATTGCTACTATAGAAGGTAGCCGCTTTGAAAAGACACACCTATAAATTGTATTATTGAAGCTAATTTATGAAAACATGTTGTCCACCAATCTAAGCTTCATCTAGCAATGCTTTACAAACCAACACGTGCACCGAATTATTTACAGCCATTGGATCAATGGATCCATCACTGATTTAACGGCTATAAATAATTGAGTAATTCTATTTAGACTTAAAAATCTCACATAATTTGTTAGTATAATGATGTGGCTTCAGTGGAATCATTGGATTAACACCAAGTTTCAATGTTTGATGGAATTCATGGTCAATCCAAATGTTATAGTGAATTAGGTCAACAAATTAGATCAATAAATTAGGCTCAATAATATTGCTCTAAATAATTTGGTGCACATAATTTTATTCATAAAATCATCAAACCTGAACGCAAAGCACACAAAAGCCCTAATATCATGGTTTCGTGGTGTGAGTCATCATGTTCATGAACTCATCCATGTCAATATATCCATCCCCATCAGTATCCACACCTCTCACCATTTTCCGGCAAGCCTCCAAGCTGCAATTCTCCCCCAACCTCTTCATAACCTCACACAACTCCTCTGCACTTATTTTCCCATTCCCATCAAGATCAAACGCGCGAAATGCACTCTGAATCTCACTCGTCTTCACTCCACCATTCATGTTATGCACTTTCATGAACTCTTCAAAGTCTATGAACCCATCTCCATTAGAATCTATGGCTTGAAATGCTTTAGCCGTCTCGGTTTTTGGATTTCTTCTTCTCAGGGCCTTCACTACTGATACGTACTCCTCCTGAGAGATCTTTCCGTCGCGATTGGTGTCAAACTTGTTGAATACACGCTTCATCTCCTCGACGTTTGGCTGAAAGACCGTCGGGAGAGTATCGGACATTGTCCTCTCCTTGGCCATGGTGAATTGGGATGGTTTTGTTGAGGACTTTCTTGACATGCTGTACTGGAAATTGAGAAAACTCACCCTCGACATTCTTTTCAATGGTGGTATTTGGGTGATGCAAGAAAAGATTGGAATTTGGAACACAGATACATGAGCTTGAAGTGAAGTGCCACCAAGTATAAATAACCTTCAGATGCCTTGGGCCCTTTGGTCTATTTTCTGGGAAATTCCTAAGGGAAGTGAACCACATTATATGGCTTTTAATATTCTCATTCCTGAATAACTTTGGTACAATTCGAGAAGAACTCTAGAGAGAGAATGGACTAGGCCTTTGATGTATGCTTAAGATTGTTTTATTATAATTTTATTGTGAATTTGAGTCACAAAAATAATCTCTTCGCATGCGAGAGAATTGCAACGTTTATCTGACCTCTTTAAACGTGCGGTCATGGTGGAAAGGGGTTTCAAAATTTTATCATATTCTTCCTTTACAAGTTGCACTCGATCCATTCTTTCTTTCTCTACCCCTCCCACCGAATTATCTGTTCGCCGGCCATAAAGTGAAAGATGCTTGGTTGGTTCAATCAGGAATTAGCGGTAATGACTAGAAACTATGAGAAATGTCGTTGCTGGGATTCATTTGAGTGGACAAAGGAAAGCAAGTCACGTACGTCCAGGATTTGTCAACCTCCCCACTCCCCAGCATTAAAAAATAGGGGTGCAACTTGGACATGTCAACTCGATTTTAACCTGAGTCCAACTTGAAAAAATTAGGGCTTGAGCTTGAATTTTTAATACGTGGGTTGGATTTGAATCAAAAAATCTCAACCCGAATTTAATTTAGACGGGCCTAGGGTTGAACCATCGGGTTCAACCTGAATTAGTACCATATAAATATAATTTTATCCTAGAGTTAATCTCAATTCAAGTGTGCGTCTCCCTCAGACCCTCACTCACTCTCAGTCTTTCTCAAGGATTCTGGTTGTACAAGGATTTTGTTTAAACAGTGAACTCTATATTTGTGTAAGGATTTTGGTTGTGTTTATTTGTATTCTGTATGGTTATGCTTGTATTATCTTAAACATTGAGTTATTAATGTTATAGTTTTTATGTTAAAAACTTGATTGAAGTAACCCAAAATCATTAATCCGAATTCAACTCGAGCCTGTCCGAATTAAACTCAGACAGTGCTCAGGTTGAGTTTCTCAACCCGAGGTAGGGTTAGGGTTAAGGTTAGAGTTAGAATTAAAGATTATATACTTATGGTTGATTGTCCAACCCGTCCAACCTATCTGAGTTGCACCTCTATTAAAAAGTTGGTCAATACTATAAACCCTATGTTAATTTAATTTACTGATTTAATTCACTATCATATTGTTTTTCTGTTACCTGCATAATATTCTTCGGGTCACTGTCAATTCAGCGATAAAAACATTAGGTCAAGAAATTAGTGGGTGGAACTCAGAATTTGATGGTGGTTGATTTGTGACGGTCCAAAATGTCCATCACTTTAGATGTTCATCTAAATCGAATCTCTTTAGTACGTACAAAGAGCAAAGCAACAATAAACTTCTTATACGGAAGTAATCACCATCTTGCTTTGATATTTGCTCGAACGCTTCTGGCAAAGCTTCATGGGGCAGACCTTTTCTCATTATGTTAGTATTGCTCATTCATATATAAACTGCTATACAAACAAGGGAAAACTGATCGATTTTTCGGATTATGGCCTTTTACGACATTTTGGTTTTTATTTTTTTTAAATGGATACATTTGAATTTACCCTTACCTTTTCTTTGCTTAATCAACAATTTTCTACTGGCTTTATCATATTTAAAGAAATATTCTGGAAAGTATAATTAAAGAAATGTTAGCATAAAAGATAATCATAATGTGGCACTTGTTAATCATGGTATACACCTATAAAATACGGATATTTCGTTAAGTTTGGCATATCCGTATTGTATACGATATTTATCGGATATTCGAGGACACGTATCAAATATATACCAAACATATCCAATAATAATAAAAATATATGAATATTTTGCGCATATTTCTATATGTAGAAAAGTGTGTGAAACTTTTAGTTTTAATCTTTATCCATTTATTTTGATTTCACATACAATGTAATACATCAATAAAAATTTATATGACTTGGAAGACACATGACTATTTTTCAAGTGTTATCCATTATCACATGTCTAAAGAGTATAAATGAGTTGATTACTCTATAATCTTAACAACAAATATTTCTAAGCAAACAACATAATTAAATGTTGGTTCTTGATACAGGGAAGCATGAATAGAGAAACGAGATTAGAAAACAAAAACTATATTACAGTCTTCAAGAGTCTTGTTGATTCCTTAGAATGTAAAAAGTCATTTGGGAATTAAAAGGCAATTCATCTTTAAATTTTATTCAAAATATACTAAAGTTGTTGAATAAGTTTTCACCACAATATAAATAAGAAACCCTAGTGGTCCTAAATTATCAAAAAAAAATCAAACAAATATGTAATATTATGAAAAAAACCCAAAACAGTGGGATAAAAACAAAAAAGTGCTTAAAAAGTGACCTAAATGTCAGTTTTTGGCTAAAAACGATTGGGTTAATGGCTTTCATTCTTTCTTAGATCGCCGAGAACTTTTCAGAATAGGGTTTTATGTATTTTTTTGATACTGTCGCTCAAAATCAGTTTTAATTGGTGCCCGTTCAACACTGTTTTCGACGAACTTGATCTGTCATGTAGTATTCTACAATACGTGCTGCATCAATTCTTATTCTTTTAATTAATCACGTTTACTTTATACATATATCATAGTAAGATGATAGATAACGTTTCAAAAATAGAAAATTATTAGTATTATTTATTATTGTTAAAAAATCACTAAAAATTATAATTATCAAGTCTTTACATAATAATAATAAAACAAAATATAAAATATATAGATATTTATAGACGTATCCCAATCATTCCTGTATTGTATCCATATCTCATTCATATCCGTACTTTCTAGGTATACACACACTTGCACGCCCTCAATGCACACATATGCCCTCATTTACTCTATTCTAGAACAACAACCCCCCCCCCCAC